GAATCCATGCTAATGACTCCAACAAATACCCGACATCTCTTCGTGTGCCCAGCGATGCCCTCTTCGGTGTGATAGAAGCACTGTACTTAAACGGTACTCAAATGACACCTGCGCGGATTTAGCTCATTCTGTACAGGTCAGAAATACAAGTTTGAAGTTCCACTATCGCTATCAGAACATCATCCATGACGAGCTGATAAGTTCATAAGCTGATAAGCTCATAAGCTGATTCATAGTTAACAGTTGTTGTAATTGGGATGAAGAAGTGCCTAATATGAGGTCGGGAGTCTTACAGTACCTCAAGGAAGAGAACAGCGAACGTTTCTAATCCTTGTGATGTGAATTTTCCTTACACTTCTACAACAGGGTGTCACTTGCCCTTCATTTCTAGAACGCTCATGTTGCCATTGATCTCTGCTTCTATGTAGTCGGCCACGAGTGCTTGTTTTAAAACCAAAGCCTACTATGCAGCAAATATGACGCGTAGCCTCCTGTTTCATATCCCACGAAAAGTTATTCGTGTAACCATTTCAGGAAGATTAATGTCCAGTGTCCCTATTATAGCTTGAAGTATCATTTTGATGTCCCCCTACCAAATAACTCTGTCCATATGGTTGTAAAGGCAAATGCCATTTGATTTCAGCTGCTAAACGACAGAAAAAAGATTTTCGCAATAAGCGCTTTGCAAAAGGCGCTTGAAGAAAATAGAACCCTCAGCCTACAAGAACTGGAAGACCTGTTTAACGCTTTTGGTGAACTGGTGCATATTCCGGAAAAGGAACTTCTGACGTTCATTCGCAATATGTCCATGTGCGGTGTGATACATCAAAACGAAGTTCAGCAGCTGTTGCACAAACTGACTCAGATTTTGGAAGACGAACAATTAAGTCCAAGCATGGTTTCAGCCGCCATCGGGGCAGATCTAATTATGAGGGAGAATGGCCGCATTGCCACGAAACGGGCAGTCATTCATGACATTGTGCAGAAGATTGTAGCGCCTCTTTCGGCGGAAAGGGTAAGCAATTGTTGTCGTCTTTTGTTAACTGAGAACTGTTCTTTGATGAACATTTGCCGAAGAATGAACTCTCAACTAACAGACGTTGGTCCTAGTTTTCGTTAAGGAAATCACTGTAAAATATACGAAATAATTTCTGAGAAATATCAGTCATATAAATACTGAACGGTAAATCTTAGCTATTTCCAAGTTATGATACTTCGAAGATATATTTCATATTCTAATGTTTAACCTTGTCAGCCATGCCTGAAGATCAACTTCTTTGGATACCGGTTGTGTTACAGTCTAAATTTTAGTGCATTCAGAAATAAAGTGAAGGAGCGATGTGATCTTGTGATTACCAGGCTAGAGAAAAGAATTGCAGGAACGACCATATTTGTAATTCCACATGGAATTGGTGCCACAGAACTTACCGATGACCAATGGTATGAACATCTAGCATTGACTCTTGACATTGCCGTATTCAACCGATGGAAATCGCCTGATTAACGCGGGACTCGGACGCATTTGGCAAACTTCCGGAAATCACTGCCAACAGGAAACGGAGTAGAAATCTTTAAAATGAACATATGGTAAAATATCTGGTCTTTGTGCTCACCTTAAGGCTAAAAACTCCTCAAACTTTATGAACTATCTAGTGACCTTAAGGATTTATATGATAATGCAGCGAAACACCTCGTGTGTATCTGCTGAACTACTTTTAATAAAAAATGTTTTGAATGAAAAGTGTTAACACGGTGTAAAACAGTAATTCACAACAGTGCCGTAAATTTGCTCGTTCCACCTGTTTGTAGATGCGCGTTGCACCCACTTCTGAAAGACCAGCGGTTGATTACTGCACCGTAAAGTTTCTTGGCGAACTGTATGATATTCTGTACGACATCAGAAACGTTCTGAAACCAGACGACCGGCTGATTGTTACGGTACTTCGGGATGTGAACCGCATTTTCCTTAATCCTGACTACGCTGAGGTCTTAGTCTCTGACGACATCACTCAATTTCCGCAGCTGCAATTCGTCGAGGCCTACGCTCAAGAACTGCAGCAAACCTTGGCCATGCTTCTACGCAACACTGTTGTGAGTATTAACATGCTATTATATTTTTTAATAATAACTATGACATAAAGGATAAATATTGTCCATCATTCAGATGGATGATGACCACATACACATGCCTGCTAAATGCTATTACACCGCAATTTGGCGATTTCGACATTTTCTGTAAGCAATGTATCAGAAACTATTACTAGTTAATGATAAGACACGTTGTTGTTATTCAAACAGATAATGAATCAACACTTCCTCTGTTGTTTATTTGAAGTTATTGTCACTTAATTCAATGATATCGTCTACAAAGCATTTCAGGTGATCTTGTGCATGTGTTCTTTGAATGCCAAGACTCCGTTCGCGAGGTAGTTCAAAAAACGAAATGCCATCACTACCGATTTTCAGAGGATTTTCCTAGAGGGCAGATATTGTGTTTATAATCAGAGAATCATGAACAAAAGTCTCCTCAGTTTTGTGCTTTCTGATTCCGTTGCTAACAAAGTAATTTGGTCCTCGGCTGTCCCAGCGAGATTCTACGACCGAGGCAACGCTTACGGTTCAGCAGAGGGCAGTTCTTAAGTCTCAGTATCCACAGATAGTTCTTAATGAGAACCACTTACCAGACCATCTTCTCTTGACATCGTAGATGGCTGCGATATGTACGAAATTTCTTTCATCTACTTCAGCACCCAATGGCCCCTAAAAGCAGGTTCGCTTTAAACATATGCACGGATGTCCAAACTGTGTTTAACATTGCTTCGGGATACGACCGCATCAAGATCTGTGATAGGAGTCACAGGTCGAAAAATAC